GAGTAGTAGTAGTGTGTGTGTGTGTGTGTGTGTGTGTGTGTGTGTGTGTGTGTGTGTGTGTGTGTGTGTGTGTGTGTGTGTGTGACAAAGGAGGACAAAAGTGGTGACTCTGTACCCTATATATAGTCTTAATCCACCCACGACAAATTGACTTGTTACATACAAAGTGAAATTCGAATCACTACTAATGCATGCAATGGACTCAGCACTTACAAATACTCCATTTAGTAATACACCCTTTATAGCAAGTTTATTATAAAGGGTTTTAATTATGCAATTATTACCATTTTCAGCCTTGCAAACCAGGTCTTCTGCAGGCCTCTGGGGAAAAACAAAACAAAATGTGTCAATGGGTATGTCTACACTGCAGTGTCACCCGACCCAGGCTCGTGGGACTCAGGCTGCGGGGCTATAAAATTGCAGTGTAGATGTTTGGGCTCAAGCTGGCACCCGGGCTGTGAAACGCTTCCCCCTCGTGAAGTCCAGGCTCCACGATCAGGCCCTTTATTTCCTGATTTTCTGGCTGCTTTATGACCAAAGCAAAAGGAAGAAGCTTAAGTGTTACCTTGAAAGGTCGTTCTTTCTTTTCAAAAACAAATATGGGCTGAGCAATAACTGACGTCTCTGGAAAAGGAAAGAGGTCACTTTTAGAACATGTGAATTAAACTATTTATCGTAATGCTGCATTTAAAATTAAACTGGGATCCACTGAAAATTTTAAATCAAAGTATTTATCATCTTCTAAAAATACAGGGCTTGGTCCTGCAGTCCTTACTCAAACAAAACTCCCATTAAGCCTACATAGCCCTTGTGCCTAGTTATGGCTGCAGGATTCGCCCATATTTTTAAACTTCTTTTAGACCAAAAATAATGCTTTTCATCCAGCAGGATCCCAAAATACTTTACAGACTATGGGCTTGAGTCTATTTCCAAGCACACCCAAAATTCCCTCAATTTCAATAAGAATGCTAGATAGATTAAACAGATATTATTTTGGGCCAAATTCTAATGTCCTTACTCAGTTTTTGCTTAGTCCTTGGAAAACAATACCTCATTACACCCCACCTTCTCATATAAGGCTTGATATTACACCACTGAAGTTAATGGGGGTGTTGCTTTGACTTTAGTGGGTGCAGGATCAGACCAACTAGCGCCATCCCTGTAGTAGCTGAGCCCGTTTAAAACATCTCTTAATTTCATCCAGCATTCAGTAGCTAAAAAATGCTCTCCTGCAACCACTTTGGCCAGGTCACACCTCTCCCTCCTTGAGTCTCTCCACTGGCTCAGGATCTCGTCCCACATAAAATTCAAACTCCTTGTCATAACTTTCAAGACTACGTGCTGGTTTGCCCCAGCCTACAACATCTCTCATATTTCCTATGATTCATCATTATGGACCAGATCCAAAGCCCACTGAAGTCAATGAAATACTTCCACTGACTTCGGTGGCTTTGAATCTAGCCCTTTGTCCTTTCATCCTGCCTACTCCTCTCACCATCCTTTCCTTCCTCCCACTCTCACCTTTTTTTGGTACTCTTCTGTATAGTTGGAAAGTCATCTCTATTCCTCTCTGCCAAACATCCCTGCTCTCATTCAAGTCCCCCCATAAACCCCACTTCCTGTGCTATCTGTCTCTAATTTAAAAGATTCAAGTTTATAAGATTTTCTACATTATTATTGATTAGTATTTGCAGTGACAGCTATGTGCTTCATAGAAAATACACAGAAAACACATCGCTACCCTGAAGAGCTTACAATCGAAGGCCCTGACTTCAATGTGACTACTCATGTGAGTAAAGTTAAGCATGTGTGTAAGTGTTTGCCTTATTGGAACTAAAATGATGACCATGACAGACATATGAGGATTTAAAATCACTAGGAAGGAGAAGGAGGAAAAAGTACATGAGTTACAGAAATGAGCATGCATAGTCACTGAGTTAAGATATATATCATTCTTGATGGTTCAAAAGCACAGGGGGGTTGTTGTTTGTTTTTAAGTGGAAATACTCAATTTTTGTTATCTTCAGAAGTCAGTTTTTAAGAATGATTTGAATGAGACACTCTACCTAATATAAATCACATTATTTTTATTTGCTTTAACCTTTGTCCCCCCTTTTCCTAACCGTTTCTTTTGTTTGTTATCTTCGTGTTCAGTGTTTGTCTAGTTTAGAGCCAAACTGTTCCTGGCTATAACCTAGGAGTTGTAGTGGGGAGGGTTTACTCCACCCTTGAAACTTCCCACAAGTGTTTGGGACAATTGCAGTCCTTGTACTAAGGGGTGCACAGGCACTGCTTCCTCTTTTCCCCCCTCAGCGTGCAAATCATCCCCAAGAGGGCACAGAGGAGGTGGGGGCATGTCACACATGGCACTAGAGTTGCCATGCATCCAGTTTTCAACAGGAATGCCCGGTTGAAAAGGGACCCTGGCGGCGCTGGTCAGCGGCAAAGCAGGGCTAAGGTAGGCCCTGCTTGCCCTGGCTCTGTGTAGCTCCCCGAAGCGGCCAGCATGTCCAGCCCCTAGGCGCAGAGGCGTGAACCATGGCCAGTGGGAGTGGCACCTGTGAGGGTGGGCTGCGCTCACCATGCAAAGCCGCTTGGCCAAGCCTCCACCTAGGGGCTGGACATGGTGGCCGATTCCGGGAGCAGCGTGGAGCCAGGGCAGGCAGGGAGCCTGCATTAGCCTCGCTGCGCCACCAACCGGGAGCTGCCTGAGGTAAGCACCACCCGGATGGAGCCCGCACCCCCACCCCCACCCCAAACCCAAACCCCTGCCCCAGCCTGGCGAAAGTGAGTGAGGTTGGGGGAGGGCCTCAGAGAAGGGGCAGGGCAAGGGTGTTTGGCTTTGTGAAATAGAAAGTTGGCAACCCTACGTGGCATCACTACCACATTTTTATTGTACATTCTTATGCATTCTGTAATTATGGGGGCTGATCAGTGCTGGAGTACATCAAGCCCCTAAGGTGCCAGTAACATGTCAGTGACTTGGAGGCAAATACTGTATGTGCTTCAGCAGCTAGTCTTCGTAGGCATTAGCCCCAGTGAAAGGTAATGTTCCAGGGCTGGCAGGAAAGGGAAAGGGTGCAAACACCCTAGGTACAGAGGCTTAAAAAGTTACAGTTCAAAGTGGGGCAGCCCAATGGAGAGTTGGGGCTCTTCAGGCCTAGTGCCTGGGATGCCCTCTCCAGTCCAGTCTCTATTCAAGCAAATAGGGTCTTACAGGTTTCCAGGCGAGGATCAGTTAGCAGTGTGTCTCTGATTGGGGCCCCTCTGCACTGGCTCCCTGCCCAATTGCTGCTGTTCCCCCCCATAAGTCCCACACACAGCTGTATCCAGTGTGATATCTGGCAGTCACAGTCTGTTCTGCATGTGGCTCTGTACACAGTTCCTGGGGCTGCTTCTCTGCAGCGCCAGGCTAGCCATGCAGCCACTGTTTTCAAATAGAACCTGGTCATTTCCTGGTTCAGGACCTTTCCTCTTCCCTTTCCAGTAAGAAGGGTATGTGCAGTGGGGACAAGCTGATTTGAGTTGCTCTTAATAGATGCCCATTTTCATCCCCCCATTTTCTAGCTATTTCAACCAGTGGACTAAAGACCCCAGTTCTGCAACCCCTTTCACACGTGACTTGCCTGGGATCAATTACTCGAGTAAGGCTCAGGCCTTTATACAACTCCTGTGCAGCAAGCAGACTGAAAAAAAACCCCTTTCAGTAATGAATGGACCAATGTAATTGCAAAGGAAGAAGCAAAATTTGGCCCACTCTGGTCATTTGGTGTCTTGCCACAGGGGTGACCAGATAGCAAATGTGGAAAATCGGGACAAAGAGTGGTGGTGGTGGGTGTAATAGGCACCTATATAAGACAAAGGCCCGCATATCAGGACTATCCCTATAAAATCGGGACATCTGATCACCCTACTTGCCACTCACCATTTTAAAAACACTGAGATGGCTGAATATACCTCACAAAGATGTGATTTTTATAACAGGGATTTCTCACAGGATCAACACATTAAAATATCTACCTCTTCCCCCTCCCCCCCCAGGTCTGCAAACATAAGAGTGACATCTTTATCTTGGTTTGCATACCCACTGGTGGTCAAACTGTTCTAATTGCACAATCAGTTGCTAATGGTATAATAAGCCTTCCATTAGAGCGGGGTGGCCAAACCACAGCTCGTGAGCTGCATGCAGCTCTTTTACAGTTCAAGCTCCCCACGCTCCACCCCATTCTCTACCTACCAGACTGGAGGGGCAGGAAGCTCAGGGCTTCTGCCCCCTACAGTGTGGGCTTCTGCCAGAGACAACTGGTGCCTGCTGAGAGCAGCGGCCCCTCCCTGCAGCTCCTATCTGTTTGCCCCGGCCTCTCCACGCAGAACGAACACCTGGGTGCTGCAGGGAGGGGTTACTGAGAGTAAGAGGGTGTGTGTGCCTGGGAGGGCATGACTTAAGCTGTTGGAGTTGAACCTTTAAATTGTGCCCCCCCCCCTTAGCTTCTTGGGGAGAGGCTGCAGGGATAGCTGCTGCCTCTCCCCATAGCTGCAGCTCCCAGCATGCTGGCTCCAGCAGCTGCAGTGCAGTGGGGGACCAAACTGCACTGTGTGACCAAGCAAGGCTAGAAAACCCTGGCAAAAATCAGGAGGGAACGTGACCCCACATGCCTCCCCGCAAGCATCACTTCTGCCCAGTGGAAAAGGGACTCAGGGCTTCAGCCCCTCAGGGCATGCCTGCTGGGGCTCAGGACTTCAGCAGGAGTGGGGCTGATGCCCCAAGCAGGCACCTCCCATAGGGCTAAAGACCTGAAATCCCCCTCCCTGCAGGGCTAAAGCCTTGAGTCCCGGCAGGTGCCTCCTGTGGGACTGAAGCCCCGAGCCCCAGCCAGCCGCTCCCTGACTCTTGAGCTTCTGAAGATTGTCCTATGTGGCCTGGAGGGTCAGTAAGTTTGGCCACCCCTGCATTAGAGCTTAACACTTAGTAATAATATATCTGAACAACTGTTAAATTACCCATGTAAATAAGTATTGCTCACAGAAACCAGGTGCAAAAACATGAAACTGATTATTTATCACTGGAGTGAACTGGTAGTAGTTTAGAAACAAGGTAATAATTATAATAATTAATATGGAGTGTTACTATGGTTATTTTTTAAAATTTCAAAGTAATTTACAAATATTGTGGTCCATCTTGCAGTCCTTACTCTTTTTACTCCTGCTTACACAAGGGCTGAATTTAGCCACATCAGTATTTCTGGCAATGAAATGTAACACATCTGTGATCACCAAGGACTTCATGGTTGTCACTATATTGTCCACCACAGACTTTCACAGGACTTTGGCTCCACAAGCACAATCCCCCACAACTTCAACTAAAGGAAAATCTCTGTTAGCTGATAGCAGCAAAGGACATGTGCTGCAGCACTTAGATGAGCAATTCCAATTCTATCCAGCAGAGGGGGGAATAGTACATATAAACCAGTGGCTCTCAACCTTTCCAGACCACTGTATCCCTTTCAGGCATCTGATTTGTTTTGCAAGTTTCACCTCACTTAAAAACCACTTACTTACAAAATCAGACAAAAATACAAAAGTGTCACAGTGATAACCACTGATATAAACAATAACAGTTCATT